CAGCAGTTGCGCAGGTATTTTCATTGTGTGTGTACAATCTTGTCCTTTTGCATCATGATGTAGTTTCTATGTTGAAGGAATGCTCTTTTACTATCTGTGTGTCCATAGCCTCCCACTGAGGACCCCAAAGCACAGAGCGAGGTGGATGATGCTGACATGGACAAGCCAGAAAAATATGTAATTTCTGATTTTTTCTAACACAACCACTACATTCTAAAAGTGATCTTTATTTATTTTGCAAACCTCACACATCTTTTTTTGTTGTTTTTCAGCTAAGTAAGGTCCAGAAGTCACCCTTAGAAAAGCTGTTTGAGGATGAAGACAGAGAGCTTCAACAGGCTGCTTCTCAAGCGGGTAGAGTCCCCTCAATCACAGAGCAGGTACAGAAGGAGCTTCAAATATACAAAAGACTGCCAGGAATTACCTCTGGACAAGACCCTGTGGCCTGGTGGTGGAGTGAGAGGGATACACTCCCCAATTTATCTGCCCTATCAGAAAAATACTTGTGTGTCCCAGCCTCATCAACGCCTTCTGAAAGAGTTTTCTCTTGTGCTGAGCATGCCATCAGCCAAGAGCGATGCCGTATAGCTCCAGAAAAGGCTAATATGATTATCTTCTTGCAAAAAAAACTGCTAAACATCACAGGTTTCATGACAAAGTTTGTTTTCAATTATTTAAGCACTGGTTCCAACCAAAGACGTTATGTTTTATTGACAGAAAGGGCTAACTTTGTTATAATTTTGCTTAAAAAAAATTACTGGGAAAAATAAAAACACAAGAGGTTTTTGGACGAAGTTTGTGCACCGGCACCGTTTCAAAAGTACCGTTTTGGCACCGGTATCAGATAAAACCTAAACGATACCCATCCCTAATGGGGAGTGGACACAGCTGGATTATGAGACACAGGTGAAGCTAATGAAAGACAATGTGTCTGGGGAGGAAGTAAAATTAAACACTAGATGCTAGAGATGAGAAGCTATCAAAATAAAACAGGAAGTCAGAGCTATAACTGATTAGGGAACTGCACACAAAAGATGACAAGACAGGAAACAGAGGGAACACTCAAAAATTAACATTCACACTCTAAAATTACGAGTAAATTATAATAGAAACCAAAACCCCCCCAAACACTCCAGAAAAGATAAAAATGAATAAACAAAACTAAAACACCAAACAAAGAATTCATCAGTGTTCAAATGTTCAAAAACCCATAATCAGACCTAGGATGATTACAATCTGCCCCGCCGATATATCGATATAAGACACTAGCTGATATATTGGTATTGACATTTTGAAGGTGTGATAAACAAAAAAGTAAAGAAGAGACAGGAGAAACATCCTTTAAGTATATTATGAGTGTCAGCGTTCCAACTAGAATGCTGCAAGCAACCATCTGATCTGAGCAGAGTCGGGCAGAGTGTAAACAAGCAAATAAAAAAACTGCACATAAACAAGTTGGAGAAATCTGTTTATGTTTTGTGCATCTGAAAGAAAAATATCAACTCATATATCATAGTTTTAAATCACCAAATATCGGTGATGGTATCTGTACTGGTTTTGGTCTTAAACCACTGTATCGGTCAGGCATCAGCTCTTGTTTTTTACTCCTCAGAGAAACGTCAGTTTTTATGTCACATGAAAGGAGACAGACAGAATACATGATACTATTTCTACTTTGTGACATCAAATAACAGAGCCAACATCATCTGTCTTCACTTAGGGCTAATAAGATACATAAGCTAATGTAACGTCATTTTTTGTTCATGGTAAATAAAAAGACGCACAGATTTGGTGGAGATCAGTTTGTACTATACCAACAGAAACCCTGAACTTTGCAGATGTACAGGTGTTTTAAGAAATCCTGAACTGGATTAGCAGTCTTGTGTTTAAAAAAACACTTCACCAAAATCACCAAAAACATGAAATCATCCTACACAGTTTATCTGCTCTTATTGTCATTATGAGTGAATTTTTGTGTTCTGGTTTTATTACACGGGGTCTATGATATAGAAGTGATTTATGTGAACCTTGCCTCCCATCTGTGTTCATCAGAGCATGCTGAATGTGCATCTCTGTGTTTCTATGCATACATCTCCCATTCTGTATGCATGAGTAAATGCACACAGCATGTATGTGTATGTACGTGTGTGAGATGTGCCTGGTGGCGGTGGTGCGGGCGTTGCTCGGCGCCATGGTTACACATAACCGGGTCATTCGGTACACGAGGTAAGTAGGACACTTGACTCTGGCTCCTCATCCATGAGCGCCTGTTTGTGAGCTACATGTGTTTGACATGTAATGATGAGCCACACGTGAGGTCAGTAAACTGACTCAGATTACAGATTATAGATCATAGAGGAGATTGTAGGGTGGCTGTAGCTCAGGTGGTAGAGCAGGTCATCTACTGATCGGAAGGTTGGTGGTTCGATCCCTGGCTTCCCCAGTCTGCATGCCAAATATCCTTGGGCAAGATACTAACCCCAAATTGCTCTCCGATGCATCCATCGGAGTATGAATGTGCGTGTGAATGCTTCTTAGAAAGCACTTGTGCGAATGGGTGTGAATGGGTGAATGTACAAGTTGTGTACAGCGCTTTGAGTGCTCAGAAAGAGTAGAAAAGCGCTATATAAGAACCAGTCCATTTACCATTTACCATTATGCACTGAATCTAATGGGACATTTTCTGTCCTATATGTTTCCTGTGTGCCTACAACGGATTCCTCAGAAATGGCCAGATGTGATGTGCATCAAACTTGACCCACAGCAATTTAAAAGGTTATTTATAGGTTGGAAAATAATCACAAGAACACTCATCCTCTGAGTCACATATGGGCAACTATTTCGCCATAGGACAAATCTCAACCCGACCTACAACATCTGTAAAAACAAAAACAAAACTATGGATTTTCCTGCATACAACAGACCTGAGTGCCCACAAAAGAAGTTCTGACCTTCCTTTTGTGGAAGGTCAGAACTTCTTAATCTTAAAATTAATCTTGAAATGAACTCAGGCCTCCTCCAAAGACCCAGTTTGTACCAGAAAGAAACTCTAATCTATCACGTTCTTGTATACATTCATTAAACATTATATATCTTCTGTGTGATAACACATAACAGATCAAAGATCAGCTGCCTCCTCACTAAGTGCACCCTTAGTCCCTCCATAACAATTAAGTACTTAAGCCAGGTACTGCTAATCAAATCTGCACATATGTGCACCTCTATAGAAGAAGTTGGGGATGTGTGCTGGTCTGGAGCATTCAGGTGTGTTAACATAGTGACAATTCTCTGAGCAGTGGAAGTCCCAGTAAATTCACTCCACAGTCAGACCGTGCAATGCTAAGAGGAACTTTAAAAAACCCAAGAGCTACATCTCAGACTCCACAGGCCTCAGTTAGCATGTTAAATGTTGAAGTTCATGATGGTTCCATTATTACCCAGGAGAGCCTCTTCTTTCTAAAAAGAACACGGCAGCACAGCTTAAGTCTGCAAAGCTGCATCTGAACAAACCACAAGACTTCTGGAACAATGTCCTTTGGACAGATTATACCAGCCCAGTGAAGATGTTTGAGCATAACAGACAAAACCAAACTCAGCTTATCAGTACAAACACCTCATACCATCTGTCAGAGCAGTGGGGTGTTGATTCGGGCTTGCCTTGCAGCCACAGGACCTGGACAGCTTGCAGTCACTGAGTCAACCATGAACTTCTCTGTGTACCAAAGTATTCTACAGTCTAAGTCTGAGGACATCTGTCTGACAGCTAAAGCTTGGACCAAACTGGGTCATGCAAGCACAGCAGCAAATCTACAACAGAAGGACTGAAAAAGAAAAGAATGAAGGTGATGAAATGGTCCAGACCTCAACCTGACTGAAATGCTGCGGTGGGACCTTAAAAGAGCTGTACATGAACCTCAATGAACTGACGTAACACTGTAAAGAAGAGTGGGCTAATATTCCTCCACATAATTGTGAGAAACTGATAAAGTCATACAGAAACAATTACTTCAACTTATTGCTGCTAAAGGTGGTTCTACAAGCTGCTGAACCATGGGGTGTACTCAGCTTTTAACATAGTTTCTGAATTTCGGTTTAGTTTTTGTACTTTCTTGTTGCCATGAAGGCTGGTGTTATGTTCCCGGAGTTTTTGTGCTGAGTTGAGTTTTGGATTCTTGAGTTTTTACTGAGTTTTTGTTCAAGTTTTTGCCTCCTTCTGCCTCTTCCCTGTAATGTCTTTGTTTTCTTTCCATGTTTCACTGATACTCTTCTTTTAATTATTTCCTGTTTTGCATTTATTTTGTTTTTACTTCCTGATATTTTCCCTCCTTTCAGATCGTCAGCCCCGTCCTCGCTGCTGCAGAGCTCTGCTCTCCCCTGTGTATTATTGTTCAGTCAGACTTGTGTATTTTTACAGTCTTGACCTACACCTTTCAATGTAGTTGTGGTCCTTTGCTTACTTTAAGTCAGGCCTCTATCTATATTTAATTCCAGTACTTCCAGTCGTTTGCACCAGTAACCTTTCAGGCTGAATGCTGCAGAGAAGCATACAGAATGTAGAACAGTTGTGACTTACTACGGACGTGATTTTCGGCGCAGTACAGCATATCAGCAGCGTGGATGAACTGGTATCCTGAACCTCGCACTCTCAGCTCTGCCTCGGTGTATCCCAGAACTATCTTACCCCTAAAAAAAAAAAACAAACCCAAAACAACAAGTGTAAACAAAATTATTAAATAATCAGAATAAATAATCATGTTTGCCAGTGCTATGATATACTTTGCATCGCACGCCATGGGCGTGAAGTCCAGCTTGTGTTTGGTCCTGAAGATCATGTTCCGCGTCCTGATTTCCAGGATGGCTGGAGGCTGGAGGGGCGTGGCGATGGCAAAGAGTGCCAGCTGGGGCGGCGTGGTTCGGTCGCTATCGCACTGCTGCTGGCTCTGGCCGTGAAGGAACTTCAGCCGACCCTGGATGTTCAGTGCCTGAGAAGGTTTGACAGCGTTAAAATCGCGGTGTTAAGTCATTAAATCCGAGGCATTAACTTGATCTCTGTGAAGGCAGTGAGACAAATGAGAGAGCCCAGAGTGGTTCCTGCTCAGATCGAGCTTCTCAGCAGACACATAAGTGCTGCTTCCTCTCTCCCTGTCAAGCAACATCAGTCTTATTTACACTGCTGGGTGATATAGAGAGTAGAAACCACTTCAGGAAACACTGTAAACACAGTAACATGACTCTGAGCAGTATTGAAGTGAATGTTACAGTTTTTAGAGGTCTTGTTGGGAAAATAAGACTCTTTCTTGTCATTCTTTCAGCAGGACAGCAGGACTCTTAAACTAACCAGTAGAAAACAGAAGTGAATGTTCTGTAATATTAAACTTCAGCCAGGACTTTTGATCTGAAGTTATTTAAAGGCCCATCCATGTGTAATGGGGGTTATTGCAGAGGTAGACCACAAAATAATCCTTTATTGGCTGGTTAAAAAGGCACTGAAACACAATGTCAGAAAGGTAAACAAACTAGGAACATGAGGAATAACATAGGGTAAGAGACAAAGAAAAAGGAAAGACAGGCGTGTATCCACAAACAGGGGTGTCAGGTGATTAGAGAGCTCTGTGAGCTGGGGAGGAAACACGGGGAGCAATCAAACCCAGGAGCAATGAATGTTCCCAAAATTAGTTCCCACGCAAAATTATGGTTGAATTCATGAAACGTATGTGCTGACTTTCTTCTCAAAACCATGAGTATATTAGTAAATCTGATTCACTGGGAACCATTGCTCCTTATGCAATCTCCATACTATCCGTATACTGCCCTGCCCCCATTTCTCAGTTAGCCATCGGGACAAATATCTGTCAGTTCACAATGCAACTGTATTCACGCAATAAATGCAAAGTGAAACTTTGCAATTGAGAAATGGAAAGAGCAGCAGAAAGACTCTCTAACTTAAAAGAATAACAGATACGATAAAAACAACATAAAGGGGTGGAGCTGGAGTGAAAAAAGGTTGCAAAGCAGCTTGCAGAGCAGCAACCGTGGTCAGTGTCAAATCTGTTGGTGAGATATGGAGAGGATTTAGCTCTTTAGTGTCTTTTCATTGGTTATGCCTTGGAAACAGAAGGTTTGAACAGCAGGTGGGTGGGGGCACCTTAGAGCTAATTCCTAATATCAAAATATTAGGAACAGGCCCTAAAGGATGAGGTTTTTAAAGCAACACCCAGCAATAAGTTGATGATGTAAACTTTAACGTGTTGTTAACATGTTTTGTTGTCACCTGGATCCACCTCCATCCTTCATAGCTAAAGGTTTCTGATAATGGAAGTTCAGTAAATATCACAGAAGCCTCAGGGAGGCTGTAACAGAGCAGAATGGTTGGATCAGCAGCCCGCAGGGAGGTTTTTACAGCCTCACAAAAACCTAAAAACACTTTCTCCTGTCTGCTGTCCTTTTCTCACCCTGCTGCATCTCATGTGAAGACCCCTCCTCCCTGTCCTCCTCCTCTGTTAGCTCTGGTTAATTGACCTTGGTGGGTTTCAGAGCCTGCGGCCGTGATGTCAGGAATCTAGCCCCGAATAGCAGGAGGGATTACAGAAAACAAAGCCATAGCAACCGGTAGACCGCGGCAGAAACCTGGCTTACTGCTCACGCAAATGCACGTGTGAGAGGGAGAACTGAGAGAAGCTGGTTCAAAACCCACCACAAGTCCTGCTGAAGTACCTTGGAGCAAGACAACCAACACCTTTAACTCTCTCCTGCATGTGCAAGCCTTCAGGTGTTTCGTAGAACAATAATACATTTTTTAATCAAATAGAAGAAGCTGCCCTCACCTCCGCTCCAATCTATATTTTTTATTTATTTATTAAAATATTATTTTTGTAACTTTTAACTTAAAAGCCCTAAAAATCTCCACCCCTCAACCACATTATGCTTTTCTTGGTGGGAGCGGCAGTGGCCTGTCTGAAGCGTCCACTCTGACTGAGCAAGTTTTCCCCCAGAGCTGCTCTCACCTACTGTGGGTGGTGGCGAGGATTAAGGGCATTTTTTTTTCCCCACGACCCCGAGGTTCACCTAAGGAGGATTATGGGAGTAAATGGTAGCTTCTGATCGCCGATGGTGATCGCCGAGGTGGCACGCCATACCGCCGGCAGTACAGTAGGGTGTAGCGGTGCGCAAAAGTCACAGCTCGGTGTGACCCTCACAGCTTGTTTTTAAGAACCAGCAGACAAAACCCCAAAACTGTATATAATTATTTTTGTGAAGATGCAGAATACTGCATAATAAGACTCTGTGGGCTGTCTGCTTGCAGTTATAGAAAAAAATAAAAGGAAAATTCTGCAAAGACAAATCTGCATCATTCGCATGACGAAATTAACAATTAAAGCACAAAAACTGTTTTTATGTACACCCTTAAGTAACAGGCCTCAAAACACATTTTAACATGTTTATTTAAAAATCCTTTTTGCACCAGGAGGGTGGAGCACTCTATGAAGTCACACTTATCCATGAATAGAAAAAAAAATGCCTGAAAGTGAGTGTTTTCCAGTTATCTGAAACAGACTTTTGTTCACATTCAATATAAACATCTAACACTGGAATGTGGGAAAATAAAATCGAAGATGTTAACTTTGATCTGTTTCCTTGTTAAATTGTTAAAATCTAAAGAATAACGCAAAAAGCGTCTCACCAGGAAGCCGAAGGAATTGTCCAACAAACAGCGGAAGCGGCAGACGAAACTTCGCTCCAGGAAGGACGAGTTTTCAGGGGGAAGCTGTTCGGGATTGTAGCTCACCAGGCAGGAAGAGGTCGACAACGATTTCCCATCTGAGAACGATATTTTTAAATGATATTTTTACCGTGTGGGTGTATATATATATATATATATATACATATACATTCACTGTAACAAGAACGTACACCCTCTGTCTGTTCTAAGGTTTTTATCAGGACATAATCAAATCATCTTTTCCGTATGACTTTATCAGTCTCTCAGTGGATCCATTATGGCCCAGTCTCCATTCAGTACTTGTTCATTGAGGTTTGCAGGCTTTTGTTTATGCACAGCTCTTAACTGTGCAGCTGTAAAACAAGCCCAAATCATCACCCCACCACCACTATGCTCTGTCGTTTCCAAGCGATTTCAAGTCCATCAATCTACACTGAGTGACTGTTCAACTAAGACTGATGTACCTCCATGGATGTGTGCTGTGAAATCAACTGTGAGTTGTGGTTTAGTGGCTGATGTGCAGTCTTCTGTGTGTTTTCCTTCGTGTGCATGCACTATAACATTTAGACCAACTCTCGAGAGGGTTTAGTCAAAGGTCACCTCTTCTGGCCTCTTCGTGACCTTGGTTCAGCAGAAACCAGCACATCTCCTCTCTCTCTCGACTGGATTTGATCTTTCAGCTCTACAGTTTTTACAGAAATAAACCATCTTCGGCCTTTCAGTGCTTCATAACAACACCACACTTAGCCAGTACATCCACAGCTGTAATAACATTTACACGAAAGTCTTTCTATATATATGTTATTTATGCTTGCCGGGAGATTTATAATTCTAATTGGACCACAATTACCAAATGTAATTGGAGCCATTTGTAATCCAGTGTTAAGCCAATAGATATATTACTGAAGAAGCCACATTTGGAGTGTGTCATGTGTTTCTGTTGCCACTAACTTGGCCTGATTATGAGCTATGCTCAATGCCAAGCTTTTGTTATACTTTAATTAACGAAACTAAGAAAAAGGGACTATCCACAGGGGAGAAGTTGTTCTATGAGTCTTTAATTTGAAATATCCCAATCAGAAATTCCTCATTTGATCCGACTTAATGTTAAGTGAGAGTCCTGATATTATGAGGCATATATAGTAAACTGAGAAAAATATCATGTGAGCACAATACTCAAATAATGCTGATAGGTGTGGTTAGTTTTATGGGTGATTA